TTAAAAAATATATGATTTCCGGGAGAGCATGCCCCGACGCCCCCTAAAGAGGTTAGGTCAACGGTGTTTACATGCTTATTTATACAATATGTGTGCTTATACTAACATCATAAGACAAAAGTTGGTTCTGTGTTGTGTGTAGTGAGAACGCACTAGAGTGAGGGGGGCCCCCAAGCCAAAGCTTGCTTAGGGCCCCCAAAAGTGTAGGGCCGGCCCTGCCATCAATGCATGGTCAATTCACACCTGTCACAGTTATGTTTGCTCTACTGAACATCTCTCTCAGTCACGTATGACCACCAATTTAATTGACCTTAATGAAAAATAAAGAGGCAACATGTTCAAGGAGAGGCGTCTTTTATTAGACATGCCTTTAGAATAGAGTTTCACTTTAAGATTTCCACTCAAATGTAATTAGTGTCTACACTCCTACTTTAAAGGCTCTACTTCTTTTTTCACTCTCTTGCCCTGTCACACACATTCCTGGTTTCTTTCTCCCTCCCCATCCTTCTTCCATTTAGACCCTTGTCACTCAGTTGGACTCTTCTTAAGATAGTTGTGCTTGTGCCCAATGATGACTTAAGCTCTGACATCAGTGCAACTGTCACTGATTATGAAAAATTAGCTTCTCTTTTGGCCTACTCCAGTGAGCTTTAAAGTTGCTTTGGAGGAGATTTATTGTCAGCTGCAGTGGCTTTGTTTTGAAAATGTGCTCTTTGCCATGAATACTGATTAAGGGGTATCAAGGTACAACACGATCTTGATCAAGTATAGTGTGCTGGGAAGAGATATGTATTTGTAGTTTGACACAGAAGAATTGCAGTGGAGAAGGCTTATAAAGGGAAGAACTGGCGATAGGGCAGGCGGTTGTAGCTGGAATACCAATACAGTTCTCAGGGCCGTCCCTCCCTACAGGCCTCACCTCGCGGAGGGGGCCTCACCTCGCGGAGGGGGCATCATCTCGCGGAGGGGGCCTCATCTCGCGGAGGGGGCCTCATCTCGCGGAGGGGGCCTCAACTTGCGGAGGGGGCCTCATCTCGCGGAGTGGCCTCAACTGAGCCGCAAATGTGGCGCACCTATGCGCTTATGCGGCGCAATTAGTGTGGTTTCGCCGCTGCGAGGCCCCACTAGCACCCAACCCCCCCCCGTCGACGCTCGCGAAACAGAGGGCCTCATCATATAACTTTGCGTGGGGCCTCAAGTTGGTCAGGGACGGCCCTGGCAGTTCTGCACTGTATCCCACCAGTAGTTTTTTTTAGGCAGAGGTGCTCATCTTCTTATAACTGGAATGACTTTGCAGAACACAATGCAGTTTTAAAACATAAATATTTTACACTTTTTCGAAGTTAGTCAAATTTACAGAGTTTTTAAGGAATTCAGAGCATATCTATGATTCAGAGTCTCAACCTCAACAAAGGGTGAGCTGGCAGCTATGAGGTAATGGTAAAAAGAGCACGAACATTGGCAAATGTGCTGATATACCTATAAGTGTTGAGCGGGAACCAGCGGGTTGGCTTAATGCTTTTGTGATGAAATTGTGAGTCAGGGCGGCGTTAACAGGTTTGAGCACAGTGAAGAAACGCCAAATGCAATATACAGGGAAAGCGGGACTTCATCACTTCACTATATCTTTTTTTTCTGCTATAATAATGTTCTTGATGCCATAATAAAAATGTCTACATTATAAACAGTTTTGCTTTTAAAGAAAACAGGGTTACACAGTACTATAACTTAAGCTATAGTAAAAAATGACATACAACATGGAAAATAATTGTTTGAAAAAAAGTATTTAAAAATAAGTCAATTATTCATTTGAGGTTTACATGGTGATGAGATATTATTTGATCATGTGTCAAGGATATTAAGGAAAGTCTGGTGACATCCTATAGTTTTATAGAAACTTCAATAATTAGCAAGTAAGGAATTAACTGTGTGTGTCATTTCACTTGTCTCTGTAAATATTCACTATGTTTATACACAGCTTTAATCTTCTCCAATCCACAATTCAATCCTGTTTGTGATACAATATAAATAAATATTTCCTAATACATATACAAAGATCACAAAATATAGTATCTCTACAGTGTATAGTACACAAAATAAAAAGTATCATCACCAAGAACAGGATGGGAAAATAAAAGTTGCAACACCAAACTGCTTTCAAAAGCCACCTTTGTTTTAAATAAACACATAGTCAAAAATATGACCAATACATCTTTGTAATCTGTTACTATATTTTATGTAAGATCATTCAAAAAATAAATAAAACATCCCACTATGAAAACTTTATATCAGAACAATGTCTTTGACAAATCTGATAAAGCTAGTGAAATTGTAATTTACTCTACAGCTAGACAAACTTAAACATTCAGACATTGTTCTTTTATCTAACCGTTGCACAGTTATTTCCCTAAAAAATAACAATTCTTAAAAACTAATGAAAAAATAGATATTATTAGGAAAGTATGCTCGTACTGTACATGCACTAGACACAGGATTAATCACCACGACAGTCTTACTGTAGGACTTTCAATGATGAGCAATGCCGTAGGGTGGTTGACACACAAGGCTCACCAGCGCTCCAAACAGGCCTCTCGATGTCAGCTTAAACAGATGGTAGAGGGATTGTGTTACATTAATGAAAGGTCCCTGCTTCACTTGAGGTATCTGTCTTCCTGACAGTTCATGTCCCTGTTGAGAACTTATCAAAGTTTCCCCATCATTTTTAAAGAAGTTTCATGTCACCTCCATTGCCAAGCGCCCTCATTTTTAACATCCTCAAGGCCAGTCAAACAAGCGCGGGGTGATTATGACACTTTAACCCCTCAAGGGAGACAGCAGCGTGTCATTGACTATAGCTGCTACATTAACACTTACTTGCTATCCATTTTCACACCCGCCCACATGTGCAGGGATGAAAACCTCATAAATGTGCAAAATGACGTAAGACTGGGGAGCAGCTTGTATTCTAATCAGTATCCATTTACACTTTTTTGTACTTTCCTGACAGCTACAGTTTTAAAATGATTGTGTAAATCACTCTTTTATGCAAT